TCCATCTGAACCAAAAATATTAAATTTTGACTCGTCTACAAATATGACGCTATTCCAGAAGCCCGATGTTTTGGTTACATGCTCCTTGGCGAAGGCGATTCCATTTAGTTGATTTTGTTTTGCTTATAAATGGCTCCTTTCTAGCAACTCGACCATGCAAATCACGTTGACGCAGCGCTCGACGGACAGTTTCAGCACAACACGATTTACCCAAGTCAGCTTTGGTATCGATAATTTGGGATTTGCCTCTCCTTTACGGACTATATAGCGCTCGTCGGTAGCATTAAAATTATTTTTGGGAGCAGTTCTGCCTTTATTTTCGATCTGATTTTCATGAATGAAGCGCTCAATAATTTTTTGGACAGTCGATGCATTTGAATTGACTACTTCAGCAACTTTTCGCAGCGACATTTCACGTTTAAAGTGATGAATTACAATCGTTGTGTGGGCGACGACCCATTTCGTAAAAACACGATTATTGACACTTTGACGCGTGCTATAAGATTAACTATTAACTAATAACAATTCCAGGAACACTGTCGCGCACATAGAAAATACACATCTCCAAAATTGGACTTTCCGAATGGACCACCTAAGACGCAGCCGCGGTCAACATTTAAATGAAATTATCTTCAAAAAGTAAATGTCATGAACCAATCTAACGTTTCAAATAAAGAACCGATGAGATTTTGCAAATTTTATGCGTTTTTTTTTTTAAAAAAGTTATCAAGCTCTTAAAAAATCACCCGATATTTAATTACTTTACCTTTTTCTTCTTTTTATGTTCGGTATGCATGTGCAATTTCCTCAATTACTTCATCTTGTGATAAAATAATGCTAATAAAAATATCTGCCTAATACAACTACCGCAATGGTGCAGGCCATGGTAAAGTTTTATATAAATTGGAAATATTCAAAAATTTAACCAAGTAATTAGCCTTTTAAGTCTCTTTTTTAAATAAAAGTTTTATTGGTTGAGATTGTACAAATCAAAGCTTATTTTAAATTAATAGCCAGCATTCTGAAAGATACTTAGTACAGTGAAACTTTGCAAGGGACCACAATTTTAATACGAGTTATGGAGTTTTTCAAGTTATCAAGTTATACAACTTATAGAGGCAACATAAAAAATATACGAATTATAGAGTTTTTTTTTATTTTTTCAACTTTACATAAAAAACAAGAAATGATTGTACATATTTAAATTTTAAAATATAAATTACATATGTTATTCAATCAATATATGTATGTATGTATTTTGAAAAATTGTACAAAGAACGGACATTATTTTGGCGTATTTTATCTATGGCATTATCAATGTTTACAATGTCATTAAAAATAGTGTCTTCAACATTTGATGCCATGAAAAAAGACGCAAATTTTCAATTGAAGCTTTCGCAACCTTTGTGGAAACTGAGGGAAAATCAAATGCTTCATCGTTTCATCATTCATCAACATGAATGTAGTCATTTTGTGGAACACGAGCCCACTCTGCTATGTGAAGTACATCTTCGTTGATTACGACTTCATTTTGATTGTTAACAAAACCGCAAGCTCAAAAACAGTTTTTAATAGTCAATTTACTGATATTTGTCCAGGTTTTATGAGCAATATTCATTGCATCATAAATCGAAATGGAATAATCCTTTTTTTCCTCAAGCAGTTTAACAACAACTTCTTTACGGTACAATGTTTTGAAACTTTTGAGTGGTTGCAAAACTGAAGAGGTGTTAGGTGGGAGAAATTCAGTCTGCACATTGCTCAAAGGTTCCATTGCAATGTGGACGGTGCAATTATACATTATATTATAAAAAAATACGAGTTGTAGAGGCTTTTGATACAAATTTTTCAATTTTTGTCTCAAGAAAAATACGAGTTATCAAAGGGACCGAAATATATGCATTTTTCGCGAATTTTTCTAGAGACCGAAGAAATACTATGAAATATCAGGGTTTTTCGCTTATCGAGGTTACGACTTATCGAAGTTTCTCTGTATATGTCACAGCATGAATCGTGTTTTATTAACCTTAATCAGAAGATTACCAATATATATTTACAGTGTCAAATGTACACATGTAATTATATGTACAGTTATATATCCAAATTTCGCGTATGTTTCAGAGATAATGTTGCAAATAGTCTTCGAAGTAAATCGAGAACATGAGTAGCGCTCTGCCGTACTCTTTTCAGGTTTCCAGCAGCTCATGTCGGCAGAAATCAACGTTTTTTCCGTTCAAATGAGTTTCTTACTCTCTTTTATTAAAATATTATTTAAATAATTCAAAATGTTGTAAATTATAGAAATATCAGTGGCTCACAGCTTATTTATGCAAAGCTTTTTTTGAACTTTACAGAATCTAACATCAAAATTTAATGTTATATCAAATTATATCAAATAACATTTTTTTTATTTTGTTAATATGTAAATTATTTAATTTTAAATAGGAATTCAATTTTTTTCAAAAATATATTTTTTATCTTAAAAGGTAAAAGCAAAAAATACTGCTATAGTTTAGGTTACAACTTATTTTATTCAGATTGCATGTATTTTAAAAACTAACTATTTACATATATTTAAACATAAATTTAATATTTAGTGTGGTAGCATTTGGCTTTAATCACATCATTCAGTCTTTTTGGCATCGAATCTACCAATTTTTGAGTAGTTTCTGGAGGAATTTTGTTCCACTCTTCTACAAGTGCTATTTTCAACTGCTCCTTGCTAGATATTTGATGTTTTTGAATGTTATTATCCAAAAGCGCCCATAAATTCTCTCTCACGTTTATATCAGGGCTCCATGCTGGCGGCGCCATTAAGTGTGGACAGTTCTAAATTAGCCAAGACTGCACAACTGCCGACTTGTGTTTGGGATCATTATCCTGATAAAAACGAAAGATATGTCGTATTCCCAATTTTTCGGCGCTTTGGAGCAAATTGTTTTCCAATATGTCTAGGTATACAGACTGATTCATCGTTTCTTCAATAAAAATCAAATTTTCAACGCCAGCTGCGGACATACAGACCCAAACCATGACGCTTTACCATGCTTTACCGTAGCTTTAAGATTTTGCTTTTACAGCTCGGTATTTGGTTTTCGACAGTGAGTTCATTCCATCTGAACCAAAAATATTAAATTTTGACTCGTCTACAAATATGACGCTATTCCAGAAGCCCGATGTTTTGGTTACATGCTCCTTGGCGAAGGTGATTCTACTTAGCTGATTTTTTTTTGCTTATAAATGGCTTCTTTCTAGCAACTCGACCATGCAAATCACGATAATTTGGGATTTGCCTATACTTCACGGACTATATAGCGCTGGTCGGTAGCATTAAAAATTTTGTTGGGAGCAGTTCTGCCTTTATTTTCGATCCGATTTTCAAAAGAAAGAAGAGAAAAAGAAAAGAAATGCGTGCATAAAATAAGCTGTGAGCATAATTCTGTTACTTTGCTTGTTTTTTATCATCTGGCAGTGAGGGAGTTGAGTTTTTTTCCTTTCTTTTTTGTTTAACCCTTTTGCTACACATATGTTTTAAAATCTGCATTGAAAATTTTAACGTTTTCATTTTACTTTATTTTTTTTTTGTTACAGCAATTGAAACACATAAATTCATAGTGCATGAAACAAGCTGTATATGCAAGTATATTACATGCATAGGTCTAAAAACATATTTGTTTGGAGTCGATAGTGCTATGTTTTAGTTTGGTTACATAACTATTATAGCTTACAAGATGTCATGCGAAGTGGTTCAAATCTTAAAATTCAGCACTTACAGTTTTTATTGTTACTGACGACGCGTCTCGTCCTAAAGATGTTTTAAGACTTTCCAAATTTCAGTGAGCTACAGGTGACAGGCCATACAGTTTGAGCACAAACTGTATACTTATACAATGGATTCAAATCCTGATTTGCAGATGGCCAGCCTTCTGCATTTATGAAACCAGTAATAATGTTCTCCAGTCATCGACTAAACGCCGCCGTGTGCATACGTTTGCTCTCTTTCGCGGATCTCGTCTGACTTTCTCACCCACTTCAGTGCAGTTATCTTTAATTATTCTTCTTTTGCGCTCTATCCCACGTGTTTCTTTTGTTTGTGCGAACAAAGGTGTACTCTACCAAGTGACAAGTGACTAAAAACCAAAAAGTGCAACATGCCCCCCGGGGCTACCAACCTAGGGGAAAACAGGTTTGCCCTGCTTTCCCCTAGTCCACAATCAAAAAG